CCTTCTGTTATTTGTCTTTCAGAAAATACCAGCAATTGGGCCATATAGCCAAGCATGCATAAATTCCCCCTTGGGCTTCTGTGCTAGCTAGCCCCAATTGGATCCAAACCAACAGTCATAAATGAATTCAACTAAGGTTTAAACAAACAATCTCTGAATTAAACGAGAAATGAATTTTTTAAAAGAAACACCCAAAAGACAAAATTTATTAACAAATGCAACTAGACTAATTATTAAGCTATTGTTAAACCATTACGAACTAAACACAGTTTTTTATGCACAAATTTAAAATCAGGAAAGGTTAGGGACAGAGGAAGGGAAATGTATCGCCCATGTTTGCTAAAAACGCTGACCTAAAGGAAGTCAAACACGAGTCGATTACAAATCCGGCGAACGAGGATTTTGGCTAATGATGGGAATTGTAACATGATCACAAGCCGGAATTTCTTCAACGGCTAGTGCTTCATGTTACAATCCTCAACATATGCCAAGAAGAGGATGAAGCAGAGGCTCTAAGTATTTTGGCCATCGATAGCTGCTCGCCCAGAATCCGGCCACCATGAACCCAATGGGGACCACATCCAATCAACTTCTCACAACAGGGACAGTCGATTCATGCATGCTCCATCGTCAAGAGGAGGCCAGGTGAGGAAGGAATCAGAAAAGGGAGAACATGTTGGACTTTCTGCAATCTCAGATTTGAAATTTGGAGAGGTTGGGTAATTTTTGGAGGAAATTAATGGTGGATTTGGAATGGGGGGACAACGGAGGTTGTGTGGTCAAGTTTTGATGGAGTTTGGATATCAACTGCCGCCGCTGACGATTCCCGGCGGGTGACGGACGGCGGTGAAATGTAGGGTTTGAGAGAGATGGTGATAATGGTCCTAGGATGTCTCTAAGGGTGTTTGGACATTTTTAAACAAATGGGGTGAGGCTTTCATGGTCGTTGGATGAGAGAAGCTGAAGGGTCAGGATTAATTTTAGTTGTTTGAACTAAATACGACGTAGTCTTGCTTTCATACTACGTCGTTTCAACTGTCTCGGAGACTGAAGGAGTTGAACCGTGTAAACGGGCTGGACCGATATTTGAGTAGTGGGCCTGGGTTTGGACAAAAATTTGGGTCTAGCCTGGCCAAATTTCAAGCCTAAAAACTGGCTCTTTTTTTCATTGCCTTTTCCTTTCCTTTGTTTCTTTTCTTTATTCCTTTCTTTTTAAATTATTAAAACCCAATTAATTTCCTAGATTAATTTAAAATTGTAAAATTAAGCTAATTATCTAACTATAATATTTACAAAAATTTGTTGCTCCTAGATTAAAAGAGAAACTTACTAATCTAAAGTTAAAAAGCTAAAAAAATGAACCAATTTTTGTGATTTTTATCCTAATAAAATAATTAATTAACTAATTAATCCTAAAAATATGAAAACAAAACCTAAATGCAATGCATGGTATTTTTGGATTTTTCATGATTTTAATAAAAGTAAGCATGCACATAAATGCAAACAATTTTAACGAAAAATCCTACAAAATTCTATAAAATGGCAAATAACTGAAAAAAAATCTATTTTCTTGAGTTTTATAGGAGTAACTCATATAGGGCAAAAATCATGTGCTCACATATCCTTTTCGATATTTTGGCCATTGATTCTTGTAACTATCTTTCTCTGCTTTATAACTGGTAATTAGTTTTCGTAATCTTTATGGTGAATGCTTGTGATATCTTTGTTCCAAAAGGGGAACTACAATTAGTTAATTTTTGTACTTTATTTTTTCTTCGTTAAATCAAGTTTGTTTAGCTGCCTATCTTTGTTTTGGAATGACTAATTATCCTAACAACGTACATTTTTAGTTGTGCACGTACGTTTTCTTTTAGCACATACACATATGGTCAACATGATATTAAATTTCTATGATTTTTTTGGAGTACTGGGGTGCTCTCCCAATTTTACTAAATTGCAGCCTAAATATGTTCTACTCTATTTAATGAGAGAAATCCATTTAATTCAACTAAAGTAAATTATTGAGATTTAATGGTATCTAAATTCTCAATATATGTGCATTCCATAGAATATATTAATGTAATATCTTGTGATGAATTATGATCCTACCTATTAGGACCAACACATTGTTTACATTTTAATGCGCCAAAAAGCTGTTATCAAATTTAGTATTAGTTTAATAATCATCTTTCGTATTAAATTGGAATGAATTAGCATGTCCTATATTTTTATTTTGTAGGTACTTTAGGAAAGAATGATTTTGTCTTCAATTTTTTGTTGTTGGTTTTACTGAACTTACTTGGTAGTTTCTAACCGACTCCTGTCACTTCTTCGATACAAGAAAAATATTGGAAAACTAATTCAAAGTTGTAATAGGAAACCTTAGTTATTTAGGATTTTGTTTATTCAATTCATGTTTAAATAGGATTTGCAGTTAGAATAAATATAGGAATAGACTTTCCTGTTTCTAGTTGAAATAGGTTTCCTACTATTATAAATAAGGGTATTGATAGCTTATTTTATGTATGGAGATGTGTGGAGGAAATAAAGAAATGTAGAGATCATTCAGAAATTTATAATAAAATATTTTCCATCATATTGGTATCAGAGCTTCTACGATCTTGGAAGGGAATCAAGTAGCTTCCACTGCCGGCGGGCGGCGCTAGCCAATGTGTGTCGCCCGTCTGGCCAAAAAATATGTTGGCAAAATCATAGATAGCTGTCGACTCAATTAGGTTATTCGATGAAAAGTTTCATGACAGATTCAAAAAAAAAGTTTAAAGACGTGCAAACAAATATGGCACAAGATGAAGAAACTCTTCTCTAAAAGTTGGAGAGAGGTTTAAATAAGTTGGAAGTTGATTATGTGTTTCAACAAAATTGAGTGTTGGTGACAAAGTGCATCAACGGGTGTTGAAGACAGGTGCTTCAACAAAATTGGGTGTTGGTGACAAAGTGCATCAACGGGTGTTGAAGACAGGTGCTTCAACAAAATTGGGTGTTGGTGACAAAGTTCATCAACGGTTGTTGAAGACAGGTGCTTCAACAAAATTGGGTTGGTGACAAAGTGCATCAACGTGAGTTGGAGACAGGTGCTTCAACAAAATTGAGTGTTGGTGACAAAGTGCATCAACGGTTGGTGACAAAGTGCATCAACGTGAGTTGGAGACAGGTGCTTCAACAAAATTGGATTGGTGACAAGTGCATAAACGTGAGTTGGAGACAGGTGCTTCAACAAATCGAGGGATGAAGACATGTGCTTCATCAAAAGTGAGAGTTGGAGAGAAGTGCTCCAACGTAACTGCACAACGAACAAGTCAAACGTATACAACTTTGAATTACGGAAAAATATTGAAAAATTAATTCAAAGTTGTAGTAGGAAACCTTAGTTATTAGGATTTGGTTTATTTAATTCATGTTTAAATAGGATTTGCAGTTAGAATAAATATAGGAATAGACTTTCCTGTTTCTAGTTGAAATAGGTTTCCTACTATTATAAATAAAGGTATTGATAGCTTATTTTATGTGTGGAGATGTGTGGAGGAAATAAAGAAATGTAAAGATCATTCGGAAATTTATAATAAAATATTTTCCTTCAAAAAACATATTAACTTGAGTTGCATGGCATCTTAAGCCAGCTGATGTGTTATAGGAATTTGGCCTTTTTTTTTTTTAACAAATATATGTTGTAAGAAAAAGTGATAGCAAAATGGCTTTAACCAGACCAAGTGAAGCACCTAACTCTTTTAATGATCTCTTAGAATGCTTTATAGACAAGTTTAATTCATTGCATGCTGAATTTGTTTGCTTGGAATATAACTGATCTGTCAGTGGAACCTCTCCTTGGTCATGGAATAATAATTTATGTTTCAAGGATCCATAAGTGTCAACAATTTTCTTACTTTTGTGTGTCTTTAATTTAAGCAGGACTCAAATACTCACAGTAGACGAAGTTACCTTCATTTTCTTGTTAAAATATTTCAGCTTGAAGAAGTTTAGATTGCAGCTCGCTTTTGAGTTTGTAACGTGTACACACGTGTTTTGAAAAACAAAAAACAACCTAAAATTATATTCATGTCCAAACACAACTCTAATTTTCTAATACCATTTTCACTTGAAAATTTTTTTTGAAATTTCACAATTCTTATGTCCAAACGCCCACTTACCAACTCACCTAATTTTTTTTCTATACAAAGAATATATAAAACTATGTACTAAAATTTCACTCTACTATTCTATTTTGTACAGTTAAATGTGATAGCCAATACACCAAAGTCTTGTAACTCAATGAATTTGTGGCTGAAACAGTGCGATGATGAGTCTAATTCGTTTGGCTTGACTTTATGTTTTGCTGAATTAACTCCATGTATGTATATAAGCACCTACATCTCATGTACATTAATATTAAATTCTAACAATTACGGGCATATGCTCGTGCATAGCACGGGCACACACCATCTAGTCTTATTAAATTACAATATGAAATCTTGTTTCCCGTACCCAACAAAAACATGTTTCATTTATTTTTATATACCGATGCTCCAAAGAAAATGAGCCATTTCAACCTTCTGGCTTGCTCAAATCAAGTGTTCATCCGCTATCATGGAACTGAAGAAGAAGATTTTAACTCTTAATTTAACATTATCTAGTTCTGAACTGCGTATTTTCCTATGTGCCGACTACGATCGTGAAGTGAACTAAAGTACGACAGGGCCATTTAGGGTGGGAAGAGCAGTTGCTTTCCAACAGTTATTGACAATGGACTAAGTAGAATCTAGAATTGCTTCAGCTTTCCAAGTCTCGTGTATGTTTTTGGACAAGTAATGGTTATAGCTGCTTGATCATGTTTCACCACAATTGGTGTCCCTTTTTACCCACAAAATGCATCAAGTATAAAACAGGTAATTGATACTATTACCCACTTGCATAATTATAGCTCGTTAATATAAGGATCGTAAAACCAGAATTTGGCAAAACATCTTTTACTAAAGGCAGCAGAATGATCTTGCAACTAATGATGAATAATTTAGAATCAAAATTTGGAACTAATAAGCATATGCAAATTACAGAAGAATAAATAAGATTGAAAAGGAAAAGTAGAATGACAAAATGAATTAGGAGCTATAAGTTATTACACCCTTCGCACTTTTGTGGGATTTCTCTTGTGTCACCAGATCTACGTGGAGATCAGCCTCGTATTTAGGCCCTCCTCATCATCCTGCCGAGGCCTCTATCCTAATTTGATGCAATAAGCAAATGACACTCAACGTTAACTACAAGTTGACACCAATAATCATCAAGGAAAGGCTTGGCGTAATGCTTGGTGGTTCCAACGAAGCTAGCACACTACTGTCTCTTGTCTTTGCTTCTTCCGCTTCTTTCTTTCAGCACCGGTACGCTTCTTTCTATCAGCACTACGCGGCTTCTTTCGTTTCTTACTGTGGCTATCATTGCCACCATCTCCATTCACTTGGTGCTTCAGGAAACAGTTTTCTGATACAAGCTGATGAGCCAATTTTGCCAAACGAGGTCCTGATACAGAATTGTGGGGTATGTACCTGCATAGGTTATGACACAGCAGAGATCATCAGAGTTTTTAAACAGCTACTTGTAGCGCTGTTGAAAATGACTACTCTGACTGACTGCATATCTCACATGGTGAGAAATCCAAGCAACTGTCTCCAAGCTGAATATTTGAAAAAATATATGCAACAGGATGTCTTACCTTCTCCAAGCTGAATATTTGAGAAAACATATATAACAGGACATCTTACCTTCTAGAATATCTGTGTTCAGCAACAGCTGTCTTCTCGTGCCATAATAAAGGTTGAGGCTGGACTCCATCCTCAGAGATAACCTACAAGAGAACACAGAACTTATAAGTTAAACAAGAAAAATAAAAAAATATAAGAGTATCATATGACATGTAGGATATGATATTACGACTAAGTGATTGGTTGATGTTTAGCTCGTCATTTCATCGACTGAGCCGCGCAGTAACACTAAGATTGATAACTAGAAGTGCCATCTTAAGCAAATACTTTTAAGATGTAAAGAAATGTCTGCACATTTGAGGTAAACAGCAGACTTGGACATCTGCAAACGTTAAGACTACAACACACACAGAAAAAAAAGGAATTACATTAAGTTTTTCACTTTGCGGAACTGCTTATTTTAGTCTCATCTAACTATGTCTGCCTTAGGTCACCAGAAGTCGATGTGAAATGAACTCAATATACACAGTTACATATCTCATCCAATTCACAAAATAGGGGTGTCAAACTAAAGTGGTGGTGACTTGGTCCATGGACTTCAGGCAGTTCTGATATTTTGTTCCAATTTTCTATCTTTTCCTCAGTCCTAATTAAAACATGTAGCTGATATTCTTAGTTGTTAAATCTTGAATTCCAAACCTTCACACAATTTCACCAGAAAACTGGAAAAATCTATATCATAGACGTGAAATACAAAATACTAACCTTTTCAAAGCTATCTTTCTATTCATCAGGATAACAATTGAGAGAAGCTAAAAAATATAGATGTTCCCTATACAAAATGTATTCCAATAATAATGCCACAAAATAACGGTCGTGCATATAAGAAAGCACAATTGATGATCGCCAAAAGCCCCAAAGAAAACGCCTTCACATACCTTTCTAGGCATTATTACTCCTTTTGGTGGCTTAGGAATGTGAGGATGGAAAGAAGGGACTTTATAAAACACAGATCTGCAGAACATCAAAATGTAATCATTCAAGAGAAGACCGTAGCCCTACTTTTTGCATATTTGAAGCAAACAAATTCAGAAAACACGTACATGACTTTATTATCTGTTATCACATCCATGTCCTCAACGGGTGGATAGATCTCAACAGGACATACAGGCTTATCAGAAAGATATATGAATCCATTCATTCCATGACTGCCAAAAGAAATCAGTCAGCATCTAGTGGCAGAGCATTTTTGACAAGTATTGGAATACTTTCTTTATTTACAAGGAAAAAGAATCAGCAATCAGCACATGTAATGCAACTATTATAGAACACCCAGGAAGACACCAAAAGTAAAAAATCAAAAGACATCCCCTTTTCTAACAAACTTAGGTTAACTCTTATACATGTAAAGATGAAAGACCAGTTATATTGTGTCCCCTAGGATTCTGCAAGAAGAGCACCCTCCCAGACCGTGTCCCACTATAACTGTATAACAAGATTGGTTTTAATAGGGGCAACAGTTTCAGGCAATGGCAGAAATGAACCAGCTTAGCTAGAAAGGAGACACTTAATTCCAATTAAGGTACTACCAGTAGTTGAAATCTTCTCAGGCAAATAAGAGGAACCTAACCACCCAAAGAACAATAGCCGAACACAGCTTCACTTGATACTACATAAGAAGAAGCAAAAGCTTTTCCCAAGTTCCTTAATCCAAGTTTACGGGGAAGAAAGAATGAATCTGCTACGTGATGTACGCAGTTAAATATAGTGAGTCAGCCACAAAGAGTGCACATGATTCTACCAATTGATGCCCCAAGCAACAATTTTAATCTGTGCCAACGGAGTGAAAATGGTGAAGTCACTCCTCAGTTCTCCAAACTATTCAAATCTCACAAACAGATATAACAAGAGCAAGTCCACTTCCTGAATGGCACCTGCCATGATCATATCACCTGAACTTGGGATTGATTTTCCTTTTCACTTTAGCCTTTGGCAACTTTGGATTGTCCTTGTTCCTTGCACAAAAAGCAGGGATCTTCGTTGCTAGAGGATGTGACAAGTAAACAAACAACATATCAAGGCCGAGACTGTTTCTGTGCTTTTCGTCAACCTAAATCACAATAAACAGTACGAGAATTAAGTGTATGTCAGACATACATAGATGTAAAGTTCAGGGGCTAGATGTTGTGATGGGAAACAATGTTGCCAACGCTCAAACAATTCCAAGAATTACTGCTGGCATCTGCAACATTATTCTTCAGTTATAATATTAGTTACATTACCGTTAAAGTATCTTCAACATTTGCAATCTCAGATAGAAGACGGCTCTCTTCAATAAATGGCAGCTTACAAACAGCCTACAAACCACAAGAAACATTGGTATCATCCTTAATGTTTTCCCAGTTAATTAACTCAAAAAGAAAAAGAATGGTTTGTATGAGGAACGATAATTGGACAGGGAAAAAGAGGGATCCACAGCAGGTTCAGATACTAGAAGTAGAAAGTGATATGAGCAATAGATTGTAAGAACAAAGTAGATTATCTGAAATTACCTGCCAAGCATGCCTCTTCCCATTGATATCAAGCTCAAAATCTGCCGAAATATGTTTTTAATACATCTCAAGGAAGGGATATTCGTTAAGCAATGAAATCAATTTTTGTTTTCAAAATCCACCTTACCACTAGGATAGAAGTCTAAAATAGGGGACAATGGATCTGTCATCAACTTCCTGTAAGAAAAGGGAAGTGCTTGTGCACTGTCATGTACACCAGCTCTGTTATACAAAGAAATGAAGAACAAAACCATCTACACAAATCAAAAAGAGCATAGGTTTTTAATACCTTGCAGCTGGAAGGACACCCATTAGCTGATCAAAAGGCTTGAAGGGCTTGCCAATTGTGAAGTGGATTTTCAATCGGTCAAGATCATGAAAATCAGATGCAAATGGAGCATAGTGATAAGGATAAAACCTGCAGTTTCATATCAAAACAGAACAACTGCGCCATTAATTTCCCAATTTGGCAAAAATAGCTAATTAATGGAAAATATGCAACACCAAATACCTAAACAATTTAACAGCCAAAATGGATCAGATAACACGCATAGAAGGAGAAGGGGGAGGGAAGAATGACTACTAACAATAACCAATGAACAACATGGTCAAGACCCGATCAAAATAAACTTCCTGAAAGAAAAAGCTGAAATAAAAAGGCAGAAAGTAGAGCAAAACCATCCTTATCCAGAAAAGGGTAGAGCAAAACCATATACTTCTGAAATCTTTCGTGCTAGAGACAAATCTGCCTAGTATTTTCTATATTCTAACACAAGATATTCAATAAGGAATAGAGACTTTCCTTTAAGTATTTCTATTAAAAAAAATTGTTTCTATGGTTAGAAAAGTAAGAAACATCCCCCTTACAGCAAATTAAAAATCATAAGTTAATTCTACCAGATCAAAACATGCTACCAAAAATATCTCAGAACTCCTGTGTGGCCAACTCCGGTTGTTTAGAAGTATATCGGCTCCACTTCAATTAAAATAAACAACCAGCTGGTGCAAGAGGATTAGCTATTTGCAAGATTAGTTTGGTAAACATAACATAGCACTTCCGGTGATGAAATAGGCTCTGAAAAGTTTGTGCAAACTTCTTGGTTAATTCTTATTGTGATAAAGTGAATAATTGTTTTACGTCTTATTGGTTTCACCAATGAAGAAATTCGCTAAGATAACCAATGTCAAGAACACAAAGAATACTTCTTTAGATACAACCCACCATACACAAAGAAGGCTACTCCAACCAGCACATTGCTGATACATTTACTCCAAATGTTTTAAATTTTTCAATAAAGACTCCAAATGTTTTAAATTTTTCAATAAAGACTCCAAATGTTTTAAATTCTGTACCGAATTCACCAAATTTAGGTAATAGTTAACCTTATTTTCTAGATACTTGCACAGAAATGATTGCTGATACTATCCAGAGGAACAACAATTAGCATACTGCTTGACGCCTAGATAGCTCCAAATATAGATATATCACATTTTGCAGATTCATGCATTCTTCTGTCAAAGATTGGCCAGCTGTCAAAATAAGATGCACTAGACTTGTACCATATTGACCCACTGGCAATCCGATTAAGGGTCACTTAGCTGAGTTTTCTAAACAAAATTAAACACCAATCATCAATTGCTCAGGAAAGTTCACTAAAAACAAAGCTTGACATGTTAATGACATAAAACCAAATAATGCTCATGCTAAGAAGCAGCAAGTCAGGAAAGAAGATAGCAGGACAGACCATTGCCAGGAGCACACTCCTTGGTAGTAATAATGCATGACCCAACATATTCCTTCAACATATTTCAAGACCTATATACCAGGAAGAACACAATCATAAAGAAAGATTAGATGAGAGAAATGGAGCTATCAGTTTATATTATGAGCTGTAATTGTTAGTTAGGGATGTCGACGTCGCAGTGTCTCATTGGCTAAGTTAATTAGTTAATTAGTCGGTTGAGTCTTGTACATAACGACCTCCTTCTCAGTGGATAATGAACAGAAGCTATCATTTTCTCTGAAATGTTCTCTTCTTCTCACTTCTAGAAGCTTCCTCCATAAGAATCTCTCAAGCTCCAAGCTCCAAGCTCCAAGTGCAGATTAACACTGATTTTAGCATGGTATCAGAGCGGACGATGCTGGTGATCCACACGAATTAGTCAATATGATTTGCGGCAGCTTCCTCGAGTTTATTGATCCTTCGTCTAGTACGTGTATTTTGAATCTGAGTTCACCAATGGCAGAATTAACAGTTCCATATACACATCAATTGTACCTTGGTCCGTCATACACTCCTGGTATTGTCCTAATTCCTGTGAAGCTCACAGGATCTAAGAACTATGGGCTTTGGAGCAGGACAATGAAGATCACTCTATTGGGAAAGAGAAAGTTAGGGTTGGTGACTGGCACCTACACAAAGGAGTCGTGTAATACAGAATTGCATGAACAGTGGGAGACATGTAATACAATTGTTCCTTCATGGCTCATGAACACGGTGTCGACAGAGCTCCTTAGTGGTATTGTGTATGCCTCGAATGCTCATTTGGTCTGGGAAGACTTAAGAGAGGGATTTGATAAAGTCAATCGAATGAGAATTTTCCAGATACACAGAGCTATTGCTGCCTTATCACAAGGTACTGATTCAGTCTCTGCCTACTTCACTAAATTGAAAGTTTGCGAATGAGTATGACGCCATGGTACGTGCCCCTAATTCAAAGGATTATGTTGAGCATATTCAGCAACAAAGGCTCTTACAATTTCTTAGTGGCTTGAATGATTCCTATAATCAAGCTAGAAGACAAATTATGTTGAAATCCAATGTACCATCTATTAATCAGGCATATGCTATGGTGATTGAGGATGAGTCTCAACATTCTTTTGGTCTGGGCTCTTCAAGTGAGAAAAATGATCCAATGGCCATGCAAGTTGGCAGGGGTCAAGGATACAGGGGTAAGAAACTTTAATGCAGTGTGAACATTGTGGACTCAAAGGCCACACAAAGGAAAATTGTTACAAAATCATAGGATATCCTAAAGATTTTAAAGGAAAAAAGAAGTTTGGTAAGAACAATGCTGGTGGACAATTTCGTCGTGGCAATGGCAACTTTGGAGGACAGTTTGGAACTCAACAATCTATCAATGCTGTCAATAATGTCTGTGGAAATGCTGATGTTCAGTCCCAAGGCTCTTCAGCCGCTGATCTACAAGGCACTTTGGCTGGAAAAGGACCTTACTTCACTGAAGAGCAATACAAACAAATTCTAGGCCTGCTAAACAAAGACACCAATGATAGCCAAGCTAATATGGCAGGTATTGCTACTTGCCTAATGTCTAGTACTATTACAAATGAATGGATTGTCGATTCTGGTGTTACTCACCATATAGCAGCAACTGAGAATTTGTCAAAAGATGGTGTTCATGCTAGGAAGTCTTCTAAGGATAAAGTTCAAAATTAAGTATCATGCCAATGGAGAAGTAGAGAGATTCAAGGCCAGATTGGTTGCAAAGGGATATAGTTAATAGGAAGGTCTTGACTATCATGACACTTTCTCTCTTGTGGCCAAGATGGTGACAGTAAGATCAGTGATAGCATTAGCAGTGTCTAGAGGTTGGTCTTTCTACTAGATGGATGTTTATAATGCTTTCTAGCAAGGAGATCTCTGTAAAGAAGTGTACATAGAACTGCCGGCAGTGGAACATTAAGCTGACAGAGGCATTGCTTGAGCCAGGCTTTGTTCAGAGTAGTCATGATTACTCTCTATTTACCTTGAGGGAGAAGGGTGGCATGGTGGTTATCTAGTCTATGTAGATGATTTACTCATTACAGATAGTAGTGCAGATTTGATCACTAAGGCAAAACAGGTGCTCCATCAGAAATTCGAGCTAAAAGATTTAGGTGAACTCAGATATTTCTTGGGGATTGAGGTCCTTAGATCCAAAGCTTGGGTCATTTTAAATCAAAGGAGGTATGTGCTTGAACTAATTTCTGACATGGGCCTTAGTGGAGCTAAACTTGCTATCACCCCTATGGAATCCAATTTGAAGCTGACTACAGTGGAGTATGATAAAGCTACTGGTATTGTTGGAGATGTGGTACTCAAGGACATTACTCTATATCAGAAGTTGATTGGCAAACTTATGTATGTCACCATCACAAGGCCAGACATTAGTTATCAGTCTCAGGTCAAAGGAATCAAGGAAGAACTTCTTCTGATATTGCGGTTACTCTTTCAAGATTATGCCATTCAAACCTTGAGTCAATTCATGCAGCAGCCTAAAAGGTCACATCGGGAGGCTGCCCATAGAGTGGTCGGGTACCTGAAGAATGCCCCAGGTCAAGGAGTGTGGCTAAAGGCTGAACCTGCAACTGAGTTGAGTTGTTGGTGCGATTCAGATTGGGCTGCTTGTCCCAACTCACGTAGGTTAGTTACAGGCTATGTGATAAAGTTTGGAGGTTCCTTGATCTCTTGGAAGTCCAAGAAGCAATAGACAGCGTCTGAAAGTTCTGGTGAGGCTGAGTATCGAAGTATAGCTTCAGCTGTAGCAGAGGCAACTTGGTTGTTAGGTCTGTTTAGGGAAATGGAGTTGCCATTCAGGTTCCTGTCACAGTGCTGAGTGACAGCAAATATGCTATGCAAATTGCAGCAAATCCAATCTTCCATGAACGCATGAAACATATAGAGATCGACTACCATTTCATTCGAGATAAAATCAAGACCGGTGATGTCAAAATAGTCTATGTGCACACTAAGGATCAGTTAGCTGATTTGCTCACTAAAGGGTTGAGCCAAGCTCAACATCTGTATCTTCTAGGCAAGCTTGGTCTAAACATTTTGCACCCTCCAACTTGAGGGGGGGTATTATGAGCTGTAATTGTTAGTTAGTGAGCTGTAATTGTTAGTTAGTGATGTTGACGTGGCAGTGTCTCGTTGGCTAAGTTAATTAGTTAGTTAGTTGGTTGAGTCTTGTATATAACGACCTCCTTCTCAGTGGATAATGAACAAAAGCTATCATTTTCTCTGAAATGTTCTCTTCTTCTCACTTCTAGATGTTTCCTCCATTAGAGAATCTCTCAAGCTCCAAAGCTCCAAGTGCAAATTAACACTGATTTTAGCAATTTATGATTGAGATATTGAAATATGAGAAATGAGGAAGAAGTTTCTTCAAGAAGAAAAGAGGTATGTCATCTAAACGAAGGTAGTGCTTTAAGCAATGCTGCAACACCTTCAGAAAAACATTCAGTCTATAGGACATATATGACATTCTTATTTTTCAACTGGTAAAGTCTTATATATATATATATATATATATTGATATAAAAAATATGGTACTAAGTTGGTACCAGAGGGTTACGATGATGTCCTGTAGGCGTATATGATATTAAATCTGCTTACCGCATCCCTTTGAATTTTGACGCAATCTTCTTCGGTTTGAACCTCAAATTTTTCCAAATAGTATCTCTCTTTCCAGCCCTCTTCTCCTAATTTAACCTGATAAATAAGACCCAGCCACTCAGGATATTCTAGAAGTTTTTTTTCAATGAACCTAAATGGAAATAAAAGGATGACCAAGAGACCTTATCAACCACAGAAAGGGTCTTGGCTTGTACATGGTTACTTTTGTCCTGATTCTGCTGAACAGCCAACTGTGTAAACGACAATCACCAAACATGGGTTACGACATTGACCAGATTCTCTATCCATCAAGAACTTCAAATAAGGTTAAGTGTTCAACACATCACTCTCACATTTAATGTAGGGCGTTGCATGTGTATCCCCCAATGCTTCTGTACCTGAATAAATAAAAAGTTTGATTATAATAAAATATTTACTGTTTTAAAAAATCCAGAGTTAACGATGATGCTTCCATTTCTGACAGAGAAGATAGAACCACAGATATTGCATAAAGAGTTCAACTCAAACAAAAAGAAAACACGTCACTGAGAGGTGACCACACAAATTGTAGCAAAAGTACAAAACAAAGGTTAAGACTTGCCAACCCCAAAAGATAGTAGCCAAGAGAACCCCACATCTACCAAAACTGGGATGGCATGATATAATGACATCACAGACAAACCTGGATACGCTTCCTAAAGACAGCATTCTCATAAGAACCAATGGCTTGTATAAAGTGCCCCGCCCTCTCCAAATTAACCTGCAGTAATGAATAGGCAAAGCCCATAATCAAATATAACTACTAAGTGCTTCAAACATATCATGCGGATTAGACAACTTTAGAGCCAGAGAAGTTCTGTCAGGCATTAAAACTAGTTAATGATCGGATACAAGATTTACAAACCTTCACACACACCTATAAATTTAACATCAATAAAGACCAGACCTTGCATATTTCAGACAAACAAGGGTCACGTCTGCTTCATACAATAAATCATCACAATAGCCTTCACAATTGGTATACGAACGAGCAAATGGTAAGACAGAAAGTACATATGGAAACGTGGCATAGGTCGGAAATGAAAATGGAGCAACACAGAGAAGCAGATTATTCTGTACCTGGCAAGAATCAGTAAGATAGCCACCCATATTGACAAATTCCTTCTTGTAGACATCAATCAGTAAGTCAATGGCTCCCTAGAGATTCACAATTAAAAGAACATTCAGAATTGAAGCGGATGGGACAAAGGAGATACATTCAATATGAACACCAACACATAACTCTTTGCCAGCAAAATTCTAGCTCCAAAAACCAAAGGGCAACTAGTACTGTAGGCTAAATGAGAAAAGCACTAATTAACATCCAAAGAATACAAACCTCTGATATCTCCAAAGATGGCACATGGGGAAGAAAATCATTTCCAACAAATAAACACATGAAAACAAAATCATCTATCAGTCGCTCCAGGTCTAGTTTGACAGTTGGATCTGGAATTTGAAGTTCGTATCCCAAATAATCTCTGAGTACCCATACTTTAAGAAACTGAAAAGATCCAGCAGCAGAAATTTAGAAAGATATAGTATAGTATAGTATAGTATAGTATAATATAATGTTCAGTATAGGTAAAGACTGGACATCCTGTAAGTAGCAATCTTATGAAGTATTTGCTGGAAATGCATTTATTTGGTACGATACAACAAGGAAATAGATAATACCAGGTACTTAAATAATTTGATTAGGTTAACAGAAAGGGAAATATGGTAGTTCACATGATTTACATACAACTATATCTTTATCAACATGGAAAGAAAGAGGGAGAAATTGACCACATTATCATACATGTGGACTGTGACCACAGGACAGTTTCTATGTATCACTATATTAAGTTATAGAAGCACATAATATGGACACACATGGTTATAGTTAGCTGTCTATTTTTCGTCTTTTACATTTTCAATTGTAATCAAACTGACATCGCTTTTTAACAATAACCTTTTCAAATTAATTAGTTCTTCATAGATGTATGCTGCACCACTATATTTGTGATGGATAGTAAAGACGTGCATTTCGTACTTAATATGGTTGCACTTGAACATTGAAAATTCGAACTTGTAACTTAAAATTGACATGTTTTTCCTATGTATCCTTCCTCTGCCAAGCTCGTGCCAACCAATTTTTTGTTCTCTCTTGTAACCTAGTTGTATCCTTGTCCAGGACGCATACTTGCTTGCTAATCCCCTTACTTGAGTTATTGAACTGATACTATTAACAGATAATAATGTCAGATAACAGGGAAACAATTGGAACCTAAAGGTAATAATAAAGATTATGCAATCCGTTCTCAATTCTCCTAACCGACAAAAGTATGACACTGGACACATAAATTTTATTTCATCTACTCCATATGAGAAAAGTAGCAGGAAAACCAGAATGAGGGATTGAAAGAACCATGCTGGGGATATCAGCCCTCTTTTGCCAATTTTCCACACTCAGTAATAGCGTCCTCCAATAAATTCTCTCTACTTAACAATTACAGGGTATTCGTCAACCCAAACCCTCTTTCCTAAATTTATCTATCTCGTTTTCTCTGTCTAGGTTTTACTTATTAGATCTAAAGGAGAGTGAGAATCATAGATATATGCTGCACCACTATATTGGAGAGAGGGGGTGGGTTGGGGGTTGGGTGTGGGGAAGATTGAGAAGGAATTTTGGAAATGTTTTCCCTTCTCTTTATAAGGAAAAACAGGAAAATGAGTTCATAAGGAAAATGTTTTCCAATGTTTTCCTTCATACCTAACACAACCTTCATCTCCTCTTCTATTCTTTCTTTCATCTGTATTTGTTGGTTTTTCTTAATTTACAACCACAAGAAACTAGAACCAGTTTGGATTTTGAACATATAATCAGGAAGAGAAAAACGTTGTAGATAAATTTATGAAAGGAAACAGAAAGAAAATGTTTTTCCAGAAACAAATGGAGCCTCAGCATTCAAACAGAAGTTACTTAGACTGAGAAAAATTCCCTTCTTGGAACCAACATATATTCAGTTATTTGGATTCACAAACATAGAATAATTTCCCACAGTTCGCGAAATAATAAGAATTTTTCGTAGCAGCATAATAGAAGTATAGAACTATATCGAGCAGTTCTTAAAGTTTCAGCTTTCAGAACAAGACAACCACATCAAAATTCCTACACTTACTGCAGCGGCGGAGCTTGATAACACAATGGTACAACATCGTCATACTAAATCAAATTTCTAACCTGAAACTTCTGTTCTGATATTAAGTTCTCCAAGTCCTTGCCGCATCCTTCCCCTTTTTTTGAGTGCCTACCTGCTTGTTGTCTATACATATCTTGCCTATTCTGTTGACCTCTATATTTTGATTTATCTTTGCGGACATCCTGCAATCAAGGACAAATTCATTACATAGCCAGCATAACTTGTTTCCCCGTTGTGATGACATAACCAGAAGAACGTGAAAAAAAGACCAAAAACAACGCATCCAAAAACACACTGACCTCCCTTAGAATTGAAAAGTGAACTTCATGTGACGCCAATGCCAGCATTATCAAGTCTGCGTCCTGTGGAAGCACCAGAAAATATGTAAAAAGAACACACTTGAAAGACGTCATGAAAGAACACTTCAGCATAAAGCAAAAAGGGAAAGGTAGGCTGCTGTAGAGTACGGCAGAAAAGAGAAGGAAAGAAAAGTAGGGTGCCACAAATTACCAAACCATACAAGCAATGCCGTGTATTAGGATCAAATCCTGGAAGATTCCTTTGCAAGCGAATATAAGACATTATCTTATGCTCCCCTTCACCAGGCACACTAGCATCGGAGAGAATAACCTAAAAAGATCACGATGTAGAAGAAGCATAATGTATGAGGGAAAAAGCATATCCCATAGAGCATGAGAGCAAGTGTCCAGCAGAAGTACGCTTACCTTGATTCCCTGCCAACCAGAGTCTACATTCACTTTCAAACGTATATAGTATTGAAGTGCAGATGACAGCAGTTCCATGAATTTCGTTCCAGGTGTAATAACATTTGAATCCAACCTTTTAGTACTTAAATCTTCCCGTTCTGTTTCATCATTCCCTCTTATTCTCCCTGTATCAGAGGCCTAAAAACAATAAAGTTCAATCTGCTTTCATAGAAAAGGAAAAAAGGAAAGAAAGGGAGAAAATCCCTTAACTGTCAAAACTTCCAAATCATAGAAAAGAAAAAAGGAAAGAAAGGGGGAAATCCCTAAACTGTCAAAACTTCCAAATTCCACTTCTAGAATGCACTTCTATGTTGTTCGTTTGCAGCCCATATGTCTATTCCTGCTTTTTGTATGTTGATAACTCGTAAATTCCTAAATTGGATATTCAAAACTTTTAGGTTTCCCTTTTACAAAAGTCTCCCTAGAAGAAAGCCAGATTCCTGTCTAATCTGATCAAGAATTGTATTTAGCTTTCCAGAAATATTCAGGTTGGTGCTCAAGCAAGATATAACTGTTGCCGAAAGTAGACAAGGTCAAGTATGAAATCTAGACCTTCGAAGGAACTTTTTTGATTGGGAACTGAACACTGTGGGAGCAAACGAGGGGCTGGAAAATGTGATAAAGCTGATTGACACACCAGATGCTATAATCTGGAAAGAAGGAAAAATGGTATTTCATGGTAAAATCCTGTAACAGTACCACGATGAAGCTTGGAGGGGGAGAACAGCATATGGCCTTGGAAATCAATCTAGAAAACAAAAGCTTCCCCTTGAGCTACATGTTTTGGTTAGATTATAATGAATGAAGCTTGTCTTACTCAAGATAAATCCCAAAAAGGAGGATTCAGACTAGGCAATAGATGCTATCGATGTCAAGCTGAAGCAGAATCTGCTACACACTTATTTTTGCATTGCCGCTTTGAATGGGACATTTGGGTCATGTTCCCGAATGTATCTGGAGGATTTGGTAGTTCCTGCAACCGTTAAAATATGCACTAGAAGGCTGGAAAGGACAGTGAATGGGGAAACAAACCAAATACAAATGGAACGCTAACCCCTTATGTATATTTTGGTGCTCATTGAAAGAAAGGGATAGAAGATGTTGTGAAAACACTTGTACACTTTTTCCTTTTGTGAAGTCTAGGGTTTTTAAACTGCTATACTCTTGGTGTATTAGAAGCAGAGACTCATGTATTTTCTTTTGCGGGACTTCCTGGATTCCCTTCATATTTTAGGGAACCCATGTCCTCTTTTGTGCACATATTCAGCTCTTTCTTGGTGCAAATCAATGAAACTTTACATATCAATATAATCTGATCAAGAATAGTTTCCACATGGTTTACTAATAAATTTAAGGTGAAAAAACTCACTTCATCACCAGCATCTTTAGCAGCTCTGAAACGTCTCGCACGCTGTTGATTCATTTTGGCACGTGGTGCAACACCATCTGCAGATCTTATATCATCATTAGTCGAGGAATGAGGTAAATAAATCAAATTAGCTATTGCTCACTATGGTTCCTATGACAATCATACATCTCGCAATGTTTTAGTGAAGAATGGAAGTGGTACACCTGGGCAAAAATTTTGAGAAAATATTTAGCAAGCTAGACCAGAAGACCTCACTTCTGCACTGATTACAAAATAAATGACCACATCTATGATCTAAATGATTTAAACAAGAAAACAATAGGTGTGACATCATACAGACCTTTGGAATAACTAAGTAAATATATCGACGACATCTCTACTTCAAACCTCAAATCCAAGTAAACACAATCTCTTATATACAGCATTTAACTTCTAGATGTATTTCGTAAATAATGTTTTGATTTATGGCAAAGGCAACCATTAGTAATATCTTTCACTTTTTGCCATAACATATATATAAGTTCCTCTTTTCTTGAAGGAAATGTAGCACATGCACAAGGAAAAATAGTTTGGTTAATAGGTTAAGTACTAATTTCTTTTATCAAAAAGGTAATATAAGAAAAAAATTCAAGAGTTTCATCTTACGCTTCTCTTTGCTGGGGCTTGCCATCCAATGGCCAATGCGAAAAAGAGAGGCAAGGTAGCAAACACAATTTTACCTCCTTGCAAACACTTCTGAAATAAGACTTTAACACGAAGACAACTCAATTGTCCATTGCAGACACCCGTGCTCTCTACTTTATTGGGATAGCTAAACTCCCAGCTATGTTTCTTGGTTTTCTATTGCTTTCTCAAGGTTCTACTTTTATTCAAATGTTTTTTATTTTTGAGAATTTTTTACTCAACTGTTACGTTAAACTTACAACAGGCAATAAGGATAAACCTTTCAACATTGCACCAACTAAATTTCAAGGTAAAAGGCTTTTCACTGATGTCAAAACAGCAGTGACCGAGTGCTGGGCTAGTTACATACATCAAATAGCCAAAGCCAAAAACAGAAAATAGAAGAAGCAAAAGATTGGGTTAGACCGATTAATATAGCCTCATCTATACATGAAGAGATTCAAAATCCTCTAGAATAGTTTCAGCTTCCCCTATGTTTTACATGAAGCAGCAAACAAAGTAAACAGTTAAACTAGTCTCTTAGATGGAGTTGGAGAGTCCTTCAAAGCACCTTTGATTCCTTTCTTTCCAAATTGTCCACCAAATAAAGTTTAAGCATTTCTCTTGAGCATTTTGTCATAACTTTCAAAGCTCCAGCATCGAAGCACTTCGAGTGGTGATGTGGGCATCACCCACTACACTCTCATTATAGATAAAAACATCTGACCTTGTTGGAAATGTCACTTTGTAATGTAAGAATAATTGTTCTGAACTTTCATGAAATTCCACATAAAAAACATCTACATATTAAATAACTGAAAACCTCTCCTTTGCAAAGAATCCAATGTTAGACATTCCTTGAATCACTAGCCATGTGAAGCAATTGACTTTGTAGGGTGCATTGGATCTCCAAATCTGTGACCACGGCCATTGGCTGCTTTGGAAAGCAGTTCAAAAGAAAGACCGAAAGACCTTTTATACACACTCATCACAATCTTTGGACGAAAAGTTGGAGTCCAATCCTTTATTGAAGACGAATGGTCCCGGGACCAAGTTATTATTATTTCTTTTTCTGCTTTTGTGTTAAGCTTATCAATTTTTTTAATAAACAATTGGCTACAAAGGGATCTTTTTTTCTAGAAGTGTCATAAGCTTGCTCCTATTTTAATTGTTTATTATTGTAAAGTTTTTTTCGTAAAAACAAAGAATTAAATTCGATTTCCTCTCTTATTTAATATAACATTACTAGTGAATGATGAATAGAATGAACTAATAGAGAGAATTCCTACACTATGCAGTTTCCAGCTTAAGGAATTTTCATTGTTAGACCAACTTTGATGGGTCTCCAGCAGCTTGAAATTCACATGCCCTTTCCTACTCCCCGCCATTCAAGTATCTTCTAACAAAATCCAAGTTCCAAGTGTTGTGAGATCAATATTGTGATATAGAAGCTTCCTTGTAAGTTGATAACTCAAACAAATCACGAAAAGTATCTTTGCAGGGAGAATATCCGAGCCAATTATCATGCGAGACAAAGCTTCTTCCACTTCTAGCCACAATATCAGTTCTAGATTTAAACTTCGGCCATAGAGCACTAATGCTCTTCCAGGTACTATAAACACATGGGAACGTGAAGGACTCTTGATGCACCAGCTCCCTTTCATCCCATATTTTTCTTTCAATTACTTGCCTCAAAAGTGCTGCTTCTTCATTTTGAAATCTCCAAAGCCACTTCATCAATGGGCTCTGACTTTGATATCTCAAAGTTCTGATACCAAGACCTCCAGCTTTCTAGGGTAAGATAATAGACTTCCAGTTAATAAGATGAATGGCTTTCTGATCTTTATTTCCTCACCATCGAAAAAAAAATTCTCAGTGAAACTAGTTTCTTCTCAACTTTCACAGGCAAGGAAATAAATACATTACATAAGTGGACAATGAATCCAAATGATGTTTATTAATACCAGTATGGCCTCTACAGATAGAGTCTGCTTCCAGTTGGCAAGCCTCTTCTCACATATTTCCACAATACCCTGCCAAATTGATTCTGCTTTGTCTTTAGCTCCCAATGCAAACCCCAAGTAGGTCACAGGGGTGAACCTTTGGTGATGTCAGGAACCCCGTTCACTAAGAGTGGGCGTTCGGTACTTCGGTACGGTATTTAAAAATTACGGTTTGGTACTTCGGCATTCGGTAAATCAATTGTGCATACCAAATACCGTACCAAAGTAGTTCGGTACGGTTCGGTATTTTTTGTTTGGTTCGGTATGGTTTCGGTACGGTTTCCGTAGCCAACCAAACTAAATTGAAATGATTTTTGCATTAGTATAAAACATTAAACATAGCTGGCCAAAAGAAATGAAATCGAGCATATAGAATCAGAATCCATAACAAACAAAAAGAAACTCTCTGTTGTGAATTTCGCAGACACGGATAGACCAAACTTTAGAAAACCCATAAGACCTAATTATCTCATCTAACTATGAAGTAAGGTGACAACCAGTTGTTGGGATAAAATGAGGAAACACAGACGAAATCACTGTCTCAAATTTGCAAGGAAAGTATCACTGGTTGAGACCCAGAAATATGATAAGGAAAATGATATTGACCATAAAGCTAGTAACATACTTTGGGCTGGGAAATGAGAAATTAGAAGGTAAATAATTGCGCTCAGCAGAATAAGCTTTGTGTTGGGCTGGACTGGTCTAAATGTTTCGGTATTTTGGTATACCGAAATATTGAAACCTCAATACCGAGGACCGTACCGAATAACCGAAAAATCTATACCGTAGTACCAAAATACCGAATAAACCAATACCGAAATACCGAATTAATACGGCTCGGTTCGGAATTCGGTTTTTCATATTTTATGCCCACCCCTACCGTTCATAGGATATATTAAGCTTTTCATGCAGTTCATGTGTAAATCTTAAGTAGCCTCAAACACTGTGAAAATAAGCTACTCCAAACGTGCACCACAAAGAGTAATATCAGCATAAAAGAGGTGTGAGATGACCATGTTGCAGAATCCCTTGATAGGTGATGCATCCAACTTGTTCAACGTGTTTCATCGTTCTACTTAGGGCCTCCATTACAAGGATAAAAAGGAAAAGTAACATGGAATCACAATGTCCGCGGCCCTTTTAGGCAGGAAAAAAAAGAGCATGAGCACCATTTATTAGATATGGAGTAGTTGACAAAAAACACACAGTGCGCTATCCAACTCCTCCATTTGATGTTAAAGCCTAAATCTTTGAGCACAGAAAGCAGGAAGTTCCGGTTGACACAGTGTTTTGAAGAGTGTGAAGCGAGAAAAAGCGACAAACCCCTTTTTGCTTAAAGCGAGAAGCGAAGCGCTTGTTAATTAAGTGAAGCAGAATTCTAAAAAAATAAATAAATAAATACTGCATAGACAACACATATAACTGTAAGCAAAAAAATAGCAGCAACTGAAACGAAAAAAATTGGGCAGCATTTCACTGCAATTTAAGACTGAAACAGTGAAAGTAAAAGAAAAAGAAAAAGAAGACGAAGAAGAATGAGAAAAAGAAGAACCGGAGGAAAAAAGAATTGGTAGCATTTCGCTACTATTTTGAGACTGAAACAGTGAAAGAAAAAGAAAAAGAAGGAGGAGGAAGAAATCACACAGTGTTATCAAAGGCGAAAAGAGCAAAAATGCTCTAAGGTCCGTTGGGGCTTTAAGCGCAAAGCGCAAATAAAGCATGGGCTTTAATGAAAAAAGGCGCAGCGGGAGAAAAAGTAAAAATATGCATAGTAGTCCAAGAATAATCATTATAAGCATGAATAACAAATATATGGTCAAAGAAATTAAAAAAAAAAAATTCATGATAAAGTGAAATATCAATTGTTTAAGGTCGCCTTTTCAGGATTACACTCATTGGCAAGGAAAAGTATGTGTTAGTGCTTTGATGCGACACTAAAGCGCCCACAAAGCGAGGCGAAACGCTCAACGTGTTTTGAGCCTCGCTTCAGGGCTTAAGCGCGCTTAAAGAGCGCCTTTGACAACACTGAAATCAAATACCTGGTCTTGAACTTGAAAAGTGTTGAAAATGGGAACCCTAGTCGCATGTTTTTTGTACTGCTCAATGATGTTTTGAAAAAATAGAGCTTTTTTAATTTTTAATCGTTGGCAGCCTTAATATATCGAAGCGCTCGCTTCTGTCGCTACTGTCGCTTCTCATGCTTCTCGCTTTTTTGGCAAAAGCGAACGCTTTAAAACCACATACTGACATTTATCAGTTAAAAAAATAACCTGGACAACTAAATAAATCTTTGCGTTTTCGTGAACATAGAATATATTGATTGAGAAAACTGATGATAGTTCACTAACCAATCGCCATGTATAAAAGCTTGCGAGGCCTAACAATTGAAAATATTCTATCAATGTACTTGAAAACCGCTTTAAAGACTTCCTCATGTGTCTCCGGGGCAGGCTGCAGACACTCCAAAACACTTGGTCAATAGAAGCGGACTAAGTTAAAATTTGCAGCATTTATATGTATATGTAAAAATTGTACCAGGCCTTCTGGATGAAAACAAGGGTGAATGATTCCGTTCATATCCAAATAGAGATTATCGAATTCAATGCCGTTGGGATTAGGGTCGCTAGTGTCAATTGGGACAGTGACCCCATTAATGACGGCTGGGGTTTCTTCGTTAACCTCAACAACAGACTGTGGATAACGCTCCAGTAACCAACGATAGAATGCAGGTATTCCCATTTGAGGCTTGTTCGGATATTTTCTGAATGTTGTAAGAAACTAGACTAGAGTCGAGGGAGAGGGGTTTGAGCTAGGGTTTAAGGTTTTGTATGCCAATTAACAGAATGGGTTTTTTCCTGGAAAAGAGAAGATTTTATAAGAGTTTGAAACCATGGCAACATTTTAGGGGTTGAGTTGAATTACTACATTGTAATTCAGTCTCTTATACCTTAAAAAATTAAGATAATTTAACATCTACTAAATATACATAAAAATTAATTTTATTTTAGGGACATGCATCAATAAAATCAATAACTCGAGCCAAAAGAATCCTATTAGTTTATTGATAACGGATTATTGGGTTAACGGTTTGATAACGGTTTTATGTTATATGATTATTGAGTTATAGGTTCGGGGCTCGATTTTGCCAAAATTTATAAATACTAGTCTTGTGGTACGCGTGTAACCCATTTCAATAAGTAAATTTTAAAAAATCATCAAGAATATGTGCATGTGTATGTTTGACAAAGCTAGTGATTATTCAATTTTAGTAATCCCGTGAGACTTACTCTAATGTTAGAGCAATAATGCTAAACATTTTGGGCATTTAGAGACATTCTACCAAGGTTTTCTTTTACAAAAATTTTATCTGCGGGGACTTCTTTTTCCTTATTAATTGACTTAATAGAATAGGTGCTTATTATGATTTACAATTTAATCTTATAAAGAATAATAATTCCTCATATTAAAGGTTACCTGGAAAATTATTTTTGATAGTGTTATAAAATAATAAAAGAAGAAGAACACTATTGCAGAGAAAAGTAGAGAGAGAGGATTCTTATTGATTTGGAGTGAATTACAATAGAATAGAACCCTCTATTTATAGGGAGAGAGTGACTTAGCCACCAAGTAATAAACCCTAGAATCTCTCTGAATATAGACATTCACCATAAATAAAATTCTATTTATAACACTCCCCCTTGAATGTCTATTCAACAGATAATATGCCTCGTTAAAACCTTAACTAAAATAAAACCCAATGGGAAAGAAATTTCTAGAAAAGGAAAAAGAGTACACATATCTAACAATACGCCTTTTGGTTGTCTCGTTAAAAACCTTGCAAGGAAAACCCAATGGGACAAAACCTTGTAAGGGAAAAAGAGTACAACGCGTATTAACTCCCCCTGATGAGAGCATCATTCACATCCTTAAGCATTTGTATTCCAATCTTGTGCACCATCTTCAAAAGATCTTTGGTAGAGATTTGATGAACAAATCAGCCATATTAACTTGAATGAATATATTGCACCTTGAAATCATCATTCTTGATAGAGATGGATTTTCTTCGTATGATCTTGTTGGAATCGTCAGTTCAATATCTTCACATAGAGGTGAAAACTCTTGCTATCATATTATCATGCATATAGTTATAGCAAGATACATTTGTGCATAAATTGCATTGAGGATGTGGTACTTCAAGATCAAGATTGTATATGCTTCAAGCAATTTAAATCATTTGGGGATTGTCATATAAGTATAGTCAAATAAGCCATTTAAATAGACTTTAAATGGATATTAACTTTTCATGTCATGCTAGACATATAAGATAAATAAAAGTGATTGCACACACTATTGATTTTATACTTTCAAGCGTTTGAACTGCAGGTCCAAAATAACATATCTTTCATATGAAACCAATTCTACTTGAATTGTTTCTCTAGACTTAAGATCCTCATCTATACTTAGCTCTATCATAGATGTCGTCGACGAACATTTTATATCGGTTCCAACCTCCTTATTTTTCATAAAGACATAACATAGAGATCTCTTCATTCATATATTCAGGTACCTGAATCTCTCATGAGATTTTATGAAGTGTTATGTCATGTGATCTTCTAGATCACTTGCCTCCTTTATTATGATCATTTTGATCATTTGCTCATCTTCTTTATCAAGGAGTTTATTTGAAACCGATTTGTCTATATGCTTTAAGCGTACTATAGACCTTGTCCTTCTAGGACTTAATATGAGCATTTGCAATGAGAATATAGTTACTTTCTTTGGGTCAGCAAATGCGTCCGGCATGTTTTGCAATAAATTGCACATGAATTATCCTTTTATGAACTTCAAGTTCATATTATTTTATTCGGGGATCTAGATGTATAAATGATAATTCATTCCATGTAACTTTTTCTCAACTGTTATCATCTCTCCCCATCATGTTAGAAAAACTAACTTGCTTCATCATCTTTGTGCGTTATGGTGTTAATCAAAATATATACCGCACATCAATAATAATAAGATGGAATTATTTGGTTCCTGACCCCGAACCACTTGTGAGGGAGAGAATGTAACATACTTTCGTATATAACCTATATCAAACTGATATAGATAACTTAGTTCTCATAAACAATAGTTTAGCTATTAAGTGGAGGCACTCAATAAATCATTTTGCTAAACCAACTGTGATGTAAACCAACTTATCAAGATAAACTATCTTGAATAGGAAATCTGGAAATTATGCTCGAAATTAAATTATTGAGCAAGTTACCTCGCACACACCGGCCAGGTTGCGGGTTAATAATAATTGTACATGTAACCATCTCATAGATGCATCTTATGTGGTATACATGGCGGGTGAATGGGCCCATATTCACCTTTGATATTTCCAGCATTCATGGGATTCAATCCCAATTTTAGTTGGTCAATTAATTAATGAGAACAAGCATTATAAGAGAATTCGTAAAGAACTTTCTAGTTCTTTAATATTTACCCATGTGAATTCTCTTTTATTTTTGCACATCATACTTGAATTAACATGGCTAAACCAATTATGCCAACTGGATAAATTATCAATATTGATAAACTTCAGGTTTACACCATGACGTGTGCAATTATCAATAAACTCCAAGTTTATTATGATATGGGTTTTTATATCAATAAACATCCACTTTATTGTGGTATTCTTTTGTTTATGTAGTACAAATTGGAGAATAAAGCGTGTAGCTTTTCACATACATATTACCCCGCTACAAGTTATAGTAATAGAAGATATTAAATTTTTCCTTTATTTATAGTCTCAATATAATCAATCGCTTTCGCGTATACTTTGGAAACTGAATAAGTTTCTTTGAGACTTACTACAACACAATACCTTATTGGTAATTAATTGTGTTTCTCCAAAATGGTAATAATTGGCTCTTCCAGAGCTCTCAATTAATTTGTACTACCACAGATTCATCAACATCTATGTGGTGATATCTCTTTTAAAGAGAAAGTTATACCATTATGGTCATGGTCAAAATTATATACAAGATATATTTCTTGCATTAATGTTATTCTTTAATAATCACATTACCAAAATATTTTGGCGTACAATAGGTACGTGACCAATGACCATTCATGCCATAATAATGACATTATTTTCTTAATCATCTCAAACCTCCTTCTAGAGGTGAGTGTGGTATATTTACTACCACTAGCGCGTTCATATTCTTCCAAGAATGAATATGTATTTATAAATCAGATGTTGTCACATTCACATCATGAATGAACCATAATCATCTATATGCGCTTTATAAAATCTCATGTCAAATCAATGACAAATATTACATTCACAAAGTGAAAGATTATTTTGAGAATCCTTATTATTCTCCTTATCACAATGATGACGATTATAATTTCGTCTATTGCCACGTCCACATCCATTGATACATTCATAGTAATAATTTTGTCTTCTTTCAGACTTATCACATACTGCTATCACATTCTCTTAAGGGAATGAGAATGGAGCAAATTCAATGGAACGTGTTTTCAATAGTTTGCCCACAATCATACATGAATTTCACCATGGCAAGGCATAGAAATTTTACCACTTCAGGTGGTTGTAATTTCTTACAAACTCCATCAGAGTTATAATCAAACTTTGTTGTCTTTGCTTGTATATAAAATCAAAGTATAGAATAAAAGAGAAAAATACGGTCAAATACTTACCTTAAATCCAAAATTTAATCATGAAGGAAGTTCATAGAACTATTGACAATCATTATGCTCAATCCCAAAGCTTCTACTCAATTGGTTAGAGTCTCGTGTTGATAACGTGTTATGAACAATAAAAGAAGAGGAAGAGTATTGCAGAGAAAAGTAGAGGGAGAGGATTCTTATTGATTTGGAGTAAATTACAATAGAATAGAACCCTCTATTTATAGGGAGAGAGTGACTTAGCCACCAAGTAATAAATCCTAGAATCTCTCTAAATATAGACATTCACCATAAATAAAATTCTATTTATAACAGATAGTTCATAAATGATATTTTCATAATAGTACATTTAGAGTATTCTTTAACAAACAAAAACTAAAAGTATACCTTAAAGAGATATATCACATATAGCATAACAAATGCCTTTGTTTCCATTTTTCTGTTACGACTCACGACCCAAATCTCATAGTAGGCCGTGATGGCGTCCAACGATCTTGTTAGGCAAGCCAACAGTAAACCTCCAACTTAATTATTCATTTTTAACTTTTAAAATCGGAAATTTCTTTAAATACACTGAATTAAATGGAGATCTCATGGAAACATACGTACTTTTTTACCAAAATACCAAGTACGAATAATACATAAATCAAAGTGATAATAATAGGTACAGCGGTGAATAACTACTAGTAGCCCCCAAAAATCGATGTCACAAGTGAATGAGCGCAATTTAGGGAATATACAAAACCGCTACAACTACAGTCTAAAATGAAATAGACAGAAATAATTAACAAGATAAGAGGGAGACTCCAGGTGCTGCAGATCGAAGCATGGAAGGCGGCTCACCACTAAGTCTCCGTGTAATGCGTCTATGTGCCCGTATGACCACTTGAAGTACCTGTCTCAGTACCTGCACCATCAGTGCAGAAGTGTAGTATGAGTACGTAAATCAACGCATACCAGTAAGTATCTAGTCTAGCCTCGAAGAAGTGGTGACGAGGGGTCGACTTGACACTTACTAGTGGTCAAAATAATAAAATACATAAAGAAGACAAGTATAAAACACAACAAGTAACACGAAACAAATAAGCTTTAATAATAAATTTCCAACCATGGATTATTACGAAATTACTAAAATACCATAACCGGCCAGGAAGGCACAAAATCAATTGTTACCAATATCAAATCAACTCTTAAATGTTACGCACAAGTCTGCCGAGGCGAACGACCCGATCCCATAGAAATAATGATATACAATAAGTACGAGCGGCGGGAGTCTAAGCTCCTCCCCCATCCTGAGAAGTAGTTGGAGAAACTAGGACCAACCCTGCCTGGGCCAAGGTACCAAACATGTTCAAGAAGAGCTCTAAAGTCTCCTGAAGTCTAGGGGTAAGATCGTGATGGCACCTAGTACCTGATACCAACTTCTCTCGATCCAAAATCCCACCTTAAGGATTGTAATGGCACCTAGTACCTAAGACTAGGTAAGGCTATCACATAATGAAATCAACATTAAGTAACAACTTAAATATTAATGAAGGCGGAAAAGAGTACCATAACATGACCAAAAAAGAAATTCAGTAGTCATGCATCCTAAAACCCGGTAATACTAACTCATAAGCTCTACAGAGAGTACACAAGATATCTCAAAATACAATATTGTTTGGAATACTATAAATAGTAATAAGTAAACAATAGAAGGAAACTCCAAAGCCTGCGAGCGAAACAACAGATATACCTTGAAGTCTCCAAATCTCTGGCTACCAACTTGTCACGACCCAAATTCCACCTTAAGGATCGTGATGACACCTAGTACCTAAGACTAGGTAAGCCTATCACATAACGAGATCAACAGTAAATAACAACTTATATATTAATAAAGGCGGAAAAAAGTACCATAACTTGACCAAAACGAAAATACATTAGTCATACATACCAGAACTCGTAATACAGAGTCATAAGCTCTATAAAGAGTACATAAGAAACAAAATACAACACTTTTGGAATACAATAAACAGCAATAAGGAAACAATAAAAGGTGACTCAGATGCTTGCGAGCGGAATATCACGTATACCTTGAAGTCTCCACAACTCTGACTCGATTCTCTAGTGCCTACCATGATCTGAGGCACCTGGATCTGCACAAAACTGTTCAAAATCGTAGTATGAGTACATTACAATCGATACCCGGTAAGTATCAAGATTGACCTCGATGGAGTAATGATGAGATTAAGTTATAACACTCACTAGATAAATAATATGCATAATATCAATATAAAACTAACAACGAAAAACCAAAACAAAATAAGTATCAACAAAGAATAGGGCATGTGATAACATGACATATTAATAACAACTTGTAAAACACAATGAAATCATTTAAGAAAAACAAGGATATGTTCAAATCATCGACCCGATCCATCACAAAAATAACATCAAGAATCACCCCGAAATACCATATAACTTAATCAACAAGCCAACCTCATGATGCCGCGTGATCTTCACATGAAATATTTCCCCTTATATATCTACACGCATATAAGCCCTCTTATTTCGTCGCGTGTGCACCACAATGAAAATTTTCCCTTACTTGTAACACACTATTAGCCTCATTATCTCGCTGCATGCACATCAACAAACACAATCGTCATGTCTCCGCATGCGCATCTCATTCACAACACAAAAATCGACCCGCACCACGCATGCACATGTGCCACAACATCGCCCAAACAATAATATCAAAGCCACAACAATATAACAACAATGTGTGTAGGAATCACAATAATAACACAAGGTACAGGGAGTGAACAAAAATAAAACATGCTTCATATAACGAACAACTCCAATTCAAGGCATATTAATAGCCTAAGGTCTAACCCGATCAATTACCATACATGCTATAATGATTCGGCCGGCTGTTTTGAGTATATTAGCCCCATTTCCCCTATTTAATGCTATACATATGTGCATTTGTGATTATGAGACTTGGTGAGGTGGTTGGTTTGGTTTCAGGGAAGTTTTGGAGGGAATTGGGATGCTTAGTCCCAAGGTTGGATGCTTAAGTTAAGAGGGTTGACCGGAGTTTGAGCTTTTGTATAGAGGGCTCTGGAATGGAGTTTTGACGGTTCCAATAGCTCCGTATGGTGATTTTGGACTTAGGTGTATGTCTGAATTTGGATTTGGAGGTCCGTAGGTTGATTTGATACTTTTTGACGAAAGTTGGAAAGTTGAAGGTTTAAAAGGTTGGTAGGTTTGACCGAGAGTTGACTTTATTGATATCAGTTTTGGATTTTTGTTCTGATAGTTGGTATAGGTTTGTTGTGTCATTTGTGACTTGCTTGCAAAATTTGAGATCATTCCTAGCAATTTGATATGGTTCGGCACGAGAATTAGAAGTTGGAAGTTCATTTGTTTTCTTAGAATTGAATTGGGGTGTGATTCGTAGTTTTGATGTTGTTTGAGGTAATTTGAGGCATCGAGTAGGTTCATGTTGTGTTTTAGGACTTGTTGGTATGTTTGCATAAGGTCCCAGGCCTCCCAGGTGTGTTTCGGATGAGTTGAGGATCATGTTGGACTTAGTTGTATTGCTGAAGGCATCTGATTTCTGGTGCATTTGCACCTGCAAAGGAGGGGTTGCAGGCACGTGATCACAGAAGTGACCAGATGGTTGCAGATGCGAAGTTAGTCTGGATGGATTGAGTCCACAGGTGCAGACTTTAGAGCGCAAATATGTAGTAGCATGAACGAGGGGGATTCCACTAAAGCGGAGCTGCATATGTGGCTTGGAGTCCGCAGAAGCGGCTGGTCGGGAGGCTAAGTCATTTTTGCATTTGCGATGGTTTTTCTGTAGATGCGGCATCGCAGATGCGAGGAAGTGGACCAGTCACGACCCAAACCGATGGGCCGTGACGGGTGCCCGAGTTCTACCTATCGAACACCTTTAAGCATACATCTAAGATATAAACATGAAATAAGTGTAGGTCATGCATAACGTCTGGCAATAAACTACTGATTCATGTGAATAACAAACGCGGGAAAACATGCCCAAATGTCATATACATACATATACGGAATACGGTAGGGCGAGACGACAAGGCCATATACCATCCAACTATACATGGCTGTCTACAACTGTATAAAGGTTGGGACTGGGCCCCGTCATACCCATATATGTATACAAAAGTATCGTACCAAAATCTAATAGCAGCTCCGGCTTAAATGGAGCACACCAACTCTCCCTGAGCAAGGATCCTAAGAAGGGGGACCGTCAGCCTGTCTCCTACACCTGCGGGCAAGAAACGCAGGCCCCCGGGCAATAGGGGCGTCATTACGAATAACGTACCGAGTATGTAAGGCATAAAAATCAGTATATAAAAGACATGAAAAAAACATGAAGTAAAAGACTCAACCTGTAAGTCTGAATAGATCTGTGAATCATGAAACATTTATAATGTTATGCATATGCGTATAAATGTCATATCATGCATAGGTATATGCCTATATAACATCATTCATCCTCTGAGGAAAACCCATCATATCATCTCGGCCTTAGTGGGCGAAATCATCAACATATGCAGTTGATCAGGTGGTGGTGCGTATATGACGCCATAACCCTTCCCCATACCCCATATACATGTACTATACGCGTATATACCGCCATCTGGTCATGGACCAATATATATATATATATATATATATATATATATATATATATATATATATATATATATATATATATATATATATATATATATATATATATATATCGAAATGTCATGACCCATGAACATATGATACGATAGTAGGACATATGGGGAATCAAGAACATAGGCAACCCTAGTACTTCTAAGAATAGAATCATTTATGAAAGTTGCGTGCTTTCTCGTTTCGTTGTATCATAAGGATCATACCAAAAGGAAAGAAGGGATAGTCTTAACATACCTCAAGTCGTCAATGCAACTCAACAACAAGCTTATGAGAACTAGCGTGCCAACCTTATAACAAAGAAATACATGTACAACTTAGATGGCGCTAGTATATCACGTATCCCAAACGATAACTCGATTCTAAAATAAAACGGGCAGCATTTCCCCTGATTGTACTGCTCCCTCAAGCATACCATAGGCGAGATGACAACACAATACAACCAGCAACTTAAAAACAACCTAACTACAATTCGGAACCTTTAATACAACAAAAAACCCAAATATAACATAACACACCCAATCAACAAGTTATCAATTAGTCTGAAATTGTAACAACGAGCGACCAGCCCACTACCCTACCACATGTGGTATTTCTACACGCCCTTTATCCTTCCAAACTCCATTAATCAATAGCACAATAAGCCAACACGAGTGGACTACAAAACAGTCCACTAAAAGTGCAATAAATCAAACTCACGGCTTATGATCACCGTCCAATAAGTTCTAACTATTAGGAAATGAATTTATCAATCTTCCTTGATGTTTCAAAGCTTAAATACAGAAAGTAGGCAATTTATTAACTATGAAGTACCTTCCAAAACTCAAACTACAAAGAAAAAGCGAGGTGATATAGCGATACTTACGTCGTAGGGATCGTTCTAATGTTATCGCTTCTTGATTTCGTACCCGGGATGTTAATTTTCTTTGGAAACCTTGTAGAGAGCTTAAGGGTAAGTTTATGGTCTTATTTTGGTCGTAGTATGTGGAAAAACGAAGAAAGAGACGACATAAGGGATATATGTATCCACTTTTGAAAAGTCAAAGAAGTGCTAGCTTGGCACCCTAGCATTGGCCCTTCTTCCGACGCTTATATCTTTTTATCCGGATGTCGTATGAAAGAAAGGTTAATAGCGTTAGAAACTTAATTCCAATACCTTCAATTTGGTATATAATATGTCCCAAGAAGACCTCATATAACACACAACATGTATTGCTCTTCGTTACAAGGCAAATCCTTAGTCAGTTTTTCTGCAACTTAAATTCGATTTTTCCCAAACTTTATATTTTATATCCAAACATCATATATAGTCATATTATGACTTTAAACTCATTTAAATCATGATTAGCAAGTCTCATATTCATTATATGTCAACTTGGGACGCACATAGTGTAACAATTTCCCCCCTTAGAAACATTCGTCCTCGAATGTTAAACTCCTAGAGATCTATAGAAATTTTAGCATAGTCTCCTCTATAACGGTACTACTACCAACCTATCACGCATCAAACCCAAAAATACAAAGCCCCACGAGGCCACAATCATCAATAACACCAATGTCCTCACACGACCAACGCCGGTAACTAACATAAGTGTTGTCACACCTCCTTTTTTACACACCCCGAGGGATATATAAGAGAGAGTTTCCACTTTAAGTGACATTATTCGAAATGAGATTATTTATTTATCAGAGTCGCCACTTGGGATAGTTTATTTGGTGTCCCTAGTCACCGGTTTATTTTACAAATCCCAAATCGAGGAAATTCGACTTTCCTTTTGAAGTCTGCGAACCAGAAATTCTGAATAAGGAATTCTGTTAACCCGGGAGAAGGTATTAGGCATTCCCGGGTTCCGTGGTTCTAGCACGGTCGCTTAAACTATTATAATTGGCCTATTATCTGATTTTAATAATGTTTTAGCTATGGTATATTTTAACTTATTAGCCGCTTTTAATTAATTTTAGGAAGATTCAACGTTATCTAAAACACGTCTTGAACCACGTCACGTGAAATGCACCCACGGTCCACGACACATTTTATATAACGTTGTTGAGAATTGGAGTTGGGTCACATGAAATGCACACCCGAATTTAGAAAATTAATTTAAAATAAACGCGCCTAAAGCAATACTGCGAATGTTTATCAATTGTTTATTTTCCTAAAAGCTAATTTGAGATTATTGTGAAGCTACGAATTAAAGCTAATTGTGTATCAAATGTACCACTTACTATGTATTATTAGAATTAAACTGAAGGTTTCAAATTATAAAATAAATAAAAATAGCGATGGCTGCGTTCATATAAAAATCAACTCACTACTGGAAGAAACCTTTCAATATCTATTACTCCATCCATGATCATAATTGCTCAACCTCCTGAATTTAATTCAGTATAACAACCGCAAAGTTTGTGCCGAACAACTAAATAACCATATATTACATTCTCAGCGCACCCCCTTTATACCTATCATGCGACAAAATTAACAGCTAAAATAAACTATACCTAAAGTATTTCAAACAATAGAGCAAGAAAGAAAATGCTATGAGAAACAGTTAAAACATCAGCTTGCCTAATTTTTCTCCCATGCCCATTTATTCACATTGTCGGTATCTACTGCCCCCCTTAAACTTACGCTCAACAAGTATTCATAAGACAAGATTGGCAACTTGTCTTGTTAAAAGCTCAATCAAAGATCCAAGTCAAATGGATTTTTTTTTTTTAAAAAAAAGCAACAATTGCGCAAACAAAGTAGACCAGCACATGAGAATACATTTGACTTGGATTCTTTTCCAGGTATTCATGTATCAAGAAGAACAAAGATATTAATTTCTGCAAATCATATTTACATCTTGTACTCTCTAAATTTATATTAAACACAAAGGCACAACAAGCATAGAAATAGATAAATAAATAAACACAAACATCTGTTATGATTCACAATAAGAACCAATCGAAAAAACATACTTGTTCACAGCATCATTGCAATTCTGCCCTTCCAATAACGAAACCGGATTTGCACCCGCATCCCGACCCGGAAGCACCAACGGCTCGCCGCCTCGGACGGACTCAGATCGACACGATTTTGGATGATGATTTCGGGCTGATTTTGAGTTTCAACTAGAAAACAGGGCTGCTTTTCGCTGGGGTTTAGAGCTAATTTTGGGACTGTTTGGTACCTTTTCGTTGCTGTTTTTTTGGTTGAGTTTCGACTTCTTTTTGGCCAGATTTTTGACTAGTCATGGAGCTTCTCACTGCTGGCTTTTGGCGCAAAAGGGGTGGTGTTTTGGGTGGGACGAATTTCTGCGGAATCGTGGTGAAGCTTGGCAACTGACTTCTAGGGCGAGGGTGTTTGGGGAAGACGGCTGTGTTCGTTGAGCTGGTGAAGGGCTGCTGTGATGTTGTTGTTGGAATTGGAGTTGATGGCTGCCTACAAGTTGATGAAGAAGATGAAGGACAGGGGAGGGGTGGGGTCGTGTATATGAAAAACCGCGCTGCTGGTTTTTTCAGATTTTTTAGGCGTATTTTTGTGTGTTTAGCTGCTTGTTCGGCCAAAAGTTCTTTTTTTGGCCAAAAACTGAAGTGTTTGGCCAAGCTTTTGGAAGTAAAAAAAGTGCTTTTGAGGAGAAGTAGAAGCAGTTTTGGAGAAGCAGAAAAAAGAAACTTTTCTGAGAAGCACTTTTGAGAAAAATACACTTAGAAGCAGTTTTTTAAAGCTTGGCCAAACGCTAATTGCTGCTCAGAAGTGCTTTTCAAATGAATTAGCCAAACATAAACTGCTTCTCACCAAAAGTACTTTTGAGAAAAACACTTTTAAAAAAAGCACTTCTCAAAATAAGCTAATTTTTGGAGCTTGGCCAAACGGGCTATAGGTCTGATTCTCAGATTTTTGGCGTAGGTACTATTATATAGGGCTTGGGATTAGGTTAGGGGTATGGGCCTAGGAATTATGGGCTTAGGAATTATGGGCTAGGTCCAAAATTAGGCCTAAAAATGGGTTGCTCAAGCCCAAGTTTTATTCTTTCCCCGCGAACGGGGCTAAAATACGATCTCATTTATTAATTAGTCCTACTTAAATAAAATAACTGTTAAAATAAGACTGGCCATTAAAACAAACTATTTTTTTTTTTGGTATTTTTCAAGATTAAAAATGACTACAAAATATTAATGGAATAATTTTTGTAATTTTCATTTTTCTTGTAATAAAATAAAGTAAAAGAGTAAAAATTAGTTGAAATAGCTATATTAGGCCTAAATTAAATATTTACGTGCTAAAATATGAAAAATCTTGGGGAGGGTCAAAAATCACATGTCTACAAGTGTCACGCCCCAAAATCCGAGGAGCGCGACCGGCGCTCAACCGAGTAAACCCGACTGAGCAAGCCTGATAGGTTTCATACTACCCAATTTCGTCTTTGAATAAAGAGGAAATATACATCATTAATCAAATTCTATAAACAAGTCTTTAACGATTTCCATTAGCAACTTCGTTCATAATTTTGAAGATATACAAGTTTTATACATCTTTTCCAAACATCATTATTTCTATTTTAATTCCAATACCTGACACTACCCATAACCTGTCTATGGAGCCTCTAAATACAACTGAAGAATAATATGGAAATGCCGGCAACAAGGCTCCGGCTATACCTCAAAATACAAAGTACATGATAAAAAAATAATACAGGACCCCGAAATGAAGTGGGGCTCACCAAGCCCACTGAAAGGAAGATGCATCACTAGCTGCGACCAACACTGTCTGCTATGGAAACACCTACATCCATTTAAATATATAGCGCCCCCGGCAAAAGGGACGTTAGTGCCGTCGAATAGCACTAGTATGTATAACTAAACACCATCTAGTTACTTTCATACAAGAACAAGGAAATCACAAGTATACCTCAAAACCTTTAAACGATCACAACAATATCAAATAAAAGAATCATACAATTTTCACCTCTTTCTTTTTCATAGCTCTTAGTTGTGGGCATTTCACAATGTTCATCATTGTTCACAATACCACCGCTATCTTGAGCGGAGTCCGATCTCGACCCGATCGGCTAGGTTGCCTCATTTGAGACATACACTTCAATCACAATCTCATTTTCCATTTTTCCGAAATTCAATATCAGCACAATACCACCATGTGTGCGGCATGGCGTCCCATCTCGGCCCGATCGGCTAGGCCGCCTTACCAAGGCATTGTTCCCTTCTCATTAATCATCTCGTTTCACATATATCATTTCATAGGCACTTGGGGCCACAACTATCACATCAATCTTGGCACTAGGCCGCATTTCACATCGTTCCCAATTTCAATATTAGCTTTGCCATTTAGGACAGTAGGTGCACACAAGAGCAATTTAAATTGTAAGCATAGATAAGACTTCACGTAGATGGCACAACAAACGCAGCTTCAATCTTGATTTAAGGTCTAAGAAATTCAATACATGATTTATATTCTTCGCACCTTTTCAAGTTATCAAGAATAGCACATTGATCATATTGAAACACATCTTTCACGTATATAAAGTTGCAACACCAATTCATGTGAAATAACAATCAATACAACAATCCAACTTTAATTTAACCGCATTTACACAAACACCAACGGAGCTCGATTTCTAAAAAGAGGGGGTTTTAGCCATACATACCTCAAAGAGCTTTCCCTTAAGTTTTTACAATACACCAACACCTCTAGCAATAACGATCTATAAAGAGATAGCGGAAATCGATTAATAATTAGGAAGATTACCCATGGTGTAACCCTCTTAGGAATTTCATCAAACACCTAACATGTGAAGTAGACTACAAGGTTTAGAAATGGCAATTCCTTCCTCCCTCAACCAATTTTAACATGAACTGCCCATATTAGTTCTTTAACATCACATACTACAACTTAGTCCCACATGCATGGCCTATTTCAAACCCCCACAACATATTTGAACCTTTAACCTCTTGCATGAAATTTTGAAAGTAGGACTTACCCGGATGGAGGAATATCTATGGTTATCTTCCTTAATTTTTGAAGACTTGAGCAAGATTTGGATGATTAGGAAGCTAGGCCCCTCCTTTCTCTCTCTATATGCTCTCATCTCTCTCTAAAATCAGTAGAAAATGACCCCGAATGAAGCCCCTCAACCTATTTATGAAAATGGGGTCGGGTTATAAAAATAGAAAAAATAGACCTCCGAAACAGGGTCTGCGATCGCAAAATGGACCGCAAAACAAGAATGTGGACCGCAGAATGCATCGCGAAATAGGTGCCCAAAACTGGGCAACACTGCCCCAATCTGCGACAGATCTGCGATCGCAAAGTAAAAAATGCGACATATTTGCGATCGCAGATTCGACACAGGATCGCATTTTTCCAGCCTTTGGTAATTTGATCATAACTTTGTGTAGGAATGTCCAAATGATGAACGGTTTGGAGCGTTGGATACTAGACTCTAAGACCTTTCATATGATAGGTTGTTCATCACATAAAACCTTATACATACTTAGATATGCTCGTTCAAAGTGTGGACTTGTGCAAACTCATTTGGGATTTTAGCCTTTTATGAAATTTTCTAACTTGACTTATACACTTATTTACCAAATCCAATTGATGCCCATCATGTTAATAGCACATAAAATATTATAATTAGCCTACCTGGCACCACGAAATCCTAGATTACTTAGCGGATTTTTTTTGAGGCCTTACAATAAAAATCCAGTATCATGTACATACCTAAAGGCTGTGATGTCTCAGTCCGATCCTCCTCCAGAAGCGGAAACAAGTGAGGATACCTAGTCTTCATGTCTTCTACAGCTTACCAAGTCATCTCCTCCACATTCTTGTTTCTCCAAAGTACTTTAACCGAAGCTACATCCTTAGTTCTTAATCTCCGAACTTGTCTGTCTAGTATAGCAATGAGAGATTCCTCATATGATAGCTGCTCTGTGACCTAAACATCATCAACTGGAACAACTATAGAAGGATCTCCAATACACTTACAGAGTATAGACACATGAAAGACTAGACTTACAGACTCCAAGTTGGAAGGTGATCACGCCCAACTCTAGTCCTTAAAAGGATAAGCGGTCGCTGCAAATATAATCCGGTCTAAAAGTCCGGAGTTGAATCCCACAGAGAACTAAGGCTTAGCTATATCTGTTTAATATCACCAAGAAGACAAGATTGAATATAAATAAACAGCTGAAAACTAACTATGCTTGAATTGTAAACAATTAGAATAAAGGTCTAAGGTAATGGTTTCCCCCGTTGTTGATTTCCTTGGTTGTATGTTTCTTATAGTGTTGACTTAGTTGCCTCTATCAATCATGAACTCTCCAGCTATCATAAATCTCTCTCAAGCAATTATGATAATTTACTAGACGCACTCTCTCAAGCTACGCTAGCTAGATTCGCATTACAGTTCACTTAGATCGCACCCAAGGTATCGTTATCTCTAATCCAACCTCTAAACCCTCGGTTATGACTCTCGCCTATACTCCGGGAGTGATGTTGTTCAAACAACTACCTAAATATGCACTCTCTCTCAAGCAGATACATAATAAATAGGAACGGCTAATTGAGGATCCTTTCAATTAACCATAATCAAAACATAGTTGAACAAATAGAGATTAAACTAATTCAAATCTATATTACTTATAACAACCAATTCATCCCCAACGGGTTTCACCAAAACCTTAGATTAGAAAAGTTAGCTACCCATGAAAATAACAAAAATCACAAAAGAATTCATATTCAAAGGTAAAAGAACAAAGAAGAAGATTAAAGATTGATGCCCAATGATCCTCCTTGCTTCTTGCCCTTCCTTCTGATGTTTTTCACTTCCAAAAATCATTCTCCGTCGCTCTTGGCCGGCCTCCCTCGTTTAATATAGAGTTTAGGGCTTAAAATCCCGTGTTTTGCACTTTAGTCCCTGAAATTTACGCGTCCTGCCGCGGTCCCACCGCGGTTATGCCAGGACCGCGGCCAAAGAGGTCCTCTGAATCTGTAGCTCTGCTCTGCCGCGGTCCTACCGTAACCGTGGTCTTTCACCTTGTTCCCTTTGGAATTTGGAAAAACGTAAAACATGAAAGTTGTAGCTCTTTGAGTTAGCTTTCCAACCATATATTGTGGAGCCCAAATGGAGTTCTGAGAAAAAAGTTATGTCTATTTTAATAGACAATATGCAATATGCCTCCTCGAGTCTTCGTTTTGTTGTTTTATCATCCGTTGATCCCCGAATACGATCTCGGCTTAATTCCTTGGGCTTTTACTCAGACTTCAAAGCTCCAAATCACTTGAATTTATTCCATAACATCTATATATCTTGGAATCACTCCTACAAGGCATAAAACACACCGTTAGTGCAAAACACTAGCGATTAAAGCGCAAACTCAATTAAAGTGCAGTAAATTAGAGTGTAATAAGCGACTAAAATACGTAATTATAGCCTATCATCAGAAGGCAAGTCTAACTCATATGCTACTTGGCCTACTCTACGCATAATCTTATAAGGTCCAATGTACCGAGGGCTAAGATTTCACTTCTTAC